TCTCAACTTTCTCAACTATTCAAAGGGTTGTAAGTTCAATCCCACTCTTCACATTTATTTTTCTCCTTTATTTTTGTCCTAACTATCTCATCCATTCAAGAGGTCGTGGGTTCAATCCCCACTATCCACATTTATTTTTTGCCTTTATTTTTCTCCTAACTCTTTCATCTATTCAAGAGGTCGTGGGTTCAATCCCCACTCTCCACATTTATTTTTCTCCTTACTCTCTCATCTATTCAAGAGGTTGTGGGTACAATCCCCACTCTCCACATTTATGTTTCCTTTCATTTTTCTATGAAATTTGTAAGTAGTTTACATTTGGTGAGGTCTTGGGTTCAATCCCCAATGACCTCACAGTTTTTTTAAAAATTTAAAACATAGCTAAATTTACAATTTTTTTGGCCTAGTTGGAAATATTCCAATCTCTTTCAATCCATCTTTCTCTCAAGTTTTTACATTGATTCTTGGAGTAATTCGGGCGACATTTTTCCATAAACATTACCTTTATATGAACATCATACATTTAACATTTTCATACATGAAAACACAACATTTTTATCATGCAAATTTCAGGCAACAACATAGTTAATTTACAGCACATAAATTCTCAAACAGTTAATTTAATACACTTTTTCGGAATACATCTTTCATTCCTTACATAATTTGCAAATAACCATTCAACATATACTTACAACCAGACTTAAAATAATCTACCAGAAGACATACGAACGCATGCTTTTAATCGTTTAGTAGATCTAATGACAAGGGCATGCAACGGGGACAACCTTAGTTTCTCGATTGGAATTTAAACTGAATTTAGGGGTCTCTTGGGAAAGGGAACAAGAGAGAAGAAAACCCATACCTTAATGTCGTTCAACACTTGTTTCAATGCTTCCTATTCCATGATGCTACTGCCTCACTACCAAAATCGAAAACCCAATCCGTCGAGAAGAATATTGTTGATTTTCGATTTTAATTTAGCTTTTAGTTTTAGTTTTTGTGTGTAAGCTCTTCAAGAGTGAAGAACTATTTTTTTAGGTCCTTTTCTGATGAAAACGTGAGAATGAGAGTGAGATACGTGAGAATAAGAGTATTAGGATTATTAGAGTTAGGTGGAGACTTAGTCAAACTAGGACTCTTCATTATTATCATTATTATTATTATTTTATTAAAAATCTGATTTTCCTTTAATTAAATAAGAAAATTAAATATTATTTAATATAACTAGTTCATTAAATACGATAAATCAATTAAATCAATGTTTCCACCAAGGTACGAACACGCGTGGAGCAAGATTTCGCTCAAAGGGTAAATTTTTGACCCTTACTAGCCAAATTATCCCTCCACCATATTAATTAATTAAGTAAGTAATTATTTGGGGAAATTACAATACTACCCTTATCCTGAAAAAGTCATTTTACCTCTATACCCTTAAAACCTATGATTACCCCTTTTTATGTCTGGTTAAGAATCATCCAGGTAAATCCTCATATTCGAGTGCCCTACATGGATGGACCCAACCTTTCCTAGTTCAACTAACTCACAAAGTTTGTTGGCTTGGATGGTGCAAGGGTTCAGAGGTCTGGTTCTACGTGCATCAATCCGTGTGAACCCAGTCTAATCGTAGGCATTTCAGATACATTAAACATTACTTAGAATAGTCATTTTAGGGTTGTTACGTTATCCCTCCCCCTAGGAATATTCATCGCAGAATGATTCTACATTCATTTGAAATAAAGAGGTTGATTATTTAAAATATTTTAACGTGTTTGAGATTACGATTACTAGGAAATTGAAAGGCAAAAATATAGATTATTAAAGATAAAATGATAACGACACGTTAGTCATTTTCCTTCATGTTGCAGCATTAGTCTTCTCCTTTCAGACGGCCCAAGGATGGAGCTTTGTAGACGATTTTCTCGTCTTCAACTTTCTTAGTCGCTCCAGGGTGTGCGTTACTGGGACCACTACTAGCCCCTTGCTTGTGGACGGGGTATTTTACGTGCATTCTCTAAAGTTTATCAATCATATTGCTATGGAAGACTTTGTTCTTCTTCCTCAGTGCGGCCATCCTTTCTCTCATGGAAGAGAATTCTTCCATTTACACTGTCAGCTCCTTATCAAGTGACATGCTTTTAGCAAATAGAGCAGCAGTCTCTGATTCTATCCTCTCCTCTCTCACTTCTCTTTCTTGCACTTTCAACCGAAGCATGTACAACTTCTCTCGCAAGTCCTCTGTCTCCATCTCAACATCTTTCTCTCTTTTCATCTGTGATACCAGATCCTCATCCATCATCGTGGTCACATCTTTGTAGATTGCGGGGGTCATGTCGACTCTAAGCCCTTCCTACTTGGCTTCTTGAATTAACCGAGTGATCTGTTCGATCATTCTTTGTAGTTCTTCTCCAGTGATTTACCTCTGGATGTTCATACCTTTGTCGATAGCAATGAATTTTTCCTTTACTAAGACAGTACAATAGTGTTTTAGGATTTGAAGAAGGAGTTTGTCTTTTGAGTGAGAAACTTAGAACTCAGAAACTTTTGGTAGGACATTAGTAATAGTGACTTATGTAAGACTTATGTATATTTTAGCTTCCTAATCATGCATGTGACCCTTATGAGACAACGGTAGGCCTAGCGATCTGAAGGATGTGTTGCATCATTTAAACAAATTGTTGTATCCCCGAAAAATAATTTTCACTAAAAATTATAGAATTCGTTACATTATTTCAATAAAAACAGGATACATCTTCAGGGACAGGGGATACGTTGCAAATACAAAATAGAAAACAATCCCACGCAATGGAGTTAGAAATTCTACTGTCTGGCTCTCTCTTTGGCTGTCTTTACCTTATTGCGGATGGCAAACTTGTTTGTTACCACATACGGCTCGGCAAACACAACCTTGAAAGATGGAGGCACAGCCTGTAGAGTATTCATCTGTTCATCTAGAATCGCATCAGCTAGCTCTTGTGAAATCGTAGCTAAAGCCCTTTGACTTTCCAACTCCCTAGAATGGTACTCTCGCTCCCTTTGCTCAAATTCTTTCTCCATTCAGTCCCATTCTTGCTGGAAGTGGTATTCGTGGATCTGAAGCCTTACCTATAAATTTTCAATTTCCCGACCTTCACACGTGGTGTTGGATCCACAACACATTGCAAATTATTGTGCAACCACGTCTTGTAATCATCGATATACCCAGCCCCATATAGATTTATAGCCATACTCCATATCATGTTAACACGTCCAGCCTATTCTTTGATAATACTCATGGCGAAAGGTATTTTGTCGTTCCTGTTGTAATCGACGACAAAAGGGGTAGTATCCCCTTGGGTGCCAGTAATTTTTGTTCTACCTAAATGACGCATCACCCTAGATTGGTTGTAGGGTTGCAATCCTATGATGCCGAGAAGAATTAAAAATGACAGTTTGTCCCCTTGCGCTGCTATCTTTTCAGACTTGAAGTCTGGTATTATCCATTGTATGTCTCCTTCTCTTATGTCATAAAACACCCTTGCCCATGCCTCTCGGGTGGAATGAATCTGAAACCTCTGGACGCTCATATAGAACTCGTAATTTTAAAGAGGGCTTGTATGGCTCGGTTTAGCTAACTCATATGGCTCGCCGTCCCTTTTGCAAAGATGTTCAGGCATCCACCATTGTACCATTGTAGCAGAATGTTGCAACCTTGGAAAAATGGGAGCCCGTTCTTACACAGGCTTACTGACCGATAAATGTCAACCATAATGAAAGGAGCCAAACTTTAGTATTTCTTCTCTTCTTCTTTATTACAATTCCCACTGAAAATAGCGTCTACCACTGTCACAATCTGGGTATCAATCATTTTCCCTCATCTCGTGGGAATACCATTGTTCCTAAGAGGCATACACAGAACGGAATGACTTGAGTTTGCCTCGAAGTATTGTAATTATGGAATTTTCTTGGAAATTGTGAGAAATATTTATTGTTCCCCCATTTTTTGAAAAATCTCTTTAGCGGTATATCTTGTTCATTTAGCCAGTTTGCATTCACCAATAAAAGCATGTTTCTCAACTTCTGGCCGGTTGGCCTGTCAGATAGAAGGATGTGGTGATCGGGACAGTGTTTCCACGTGCCCCTTGTCCCAATACAGTCCAAACAATCCTTAATTTCTTCTATTGTTGGCGTTATTTTGACATCCCCAAATTGGAATACCATCCTTTCGTCATCCCAAAATAGAGTAATCACCTCAATAAACATGGGACAAACTTTGAAGTCCATTATGGAGGGTAAGTGGCCCAGGAGAATTGAAATCTCTCTCTTTTGACAAACATTGAGGTAGTTCCACCATACTTGAAGAATCTCCGTTCGGTGACCATGTTTAAAGTGAGGAATTGACCACTACACCATTTTCGGCCTACAGCAACACCACGTAAGTGTAGCCTAAACTAGCAAAAAGTGTGGCCTTTGATAAAAGGCTACACTTTTGACATTCAGCAACACATTTTAGGGGCTGCCCAAAAGAACCGTAACCTTTGACATTAGGCAACACTTTTTAAATGTTGCCATCTTTGGCAACACTTATAAAGCGTAGCCAAATAGGTATAAGGGAACGCTTTGAAGACGTGCATTAGCAACACCTATTTTTTGTTAGACTACCCTTAAAAGAGTTGCCTTTTCAGATTTATTGGTCACACTTAAAAAGTGTTGCCTTTTATTGGTCATCTATTGCAACACTTTCAAAGTGTAACTTTTTATCTACCTAGAGCAACAGTTACAAATTGTAACTTCAACATTCATAAGCCTACATGTAGCACAAATATATATAATATATTTACATACATACAAGTGACCTAAAACACAAAATGGACTAATTAATCACTAAATTGAAGCTATATATTTCAAATAAACTTTGAGAAATATTTCATGTACAACCAAAATATAGTATGTGTTGTGTACATACCCATACTTATACATCAATATTCTAAATGTGTATACAATAAATCAAATATCTATTTAAACTTTTACAATAGTTCAAAAACTCTTCATCGTCCACTTCAAATTTGATCACCTCTATTTCCCTACACAAATAAGATATTGGCAATTATATAGAAGAGGTAAGAAGTTCAGATTGCAACAATATAGAGAGGAAAGAAATCCAGGAGTTACAGAAAATTATATTGCATCTTTTGATGTTCAAAGTAGATGATCTTCCCTTAGGTGTCTAGAATTCCAAATGAGTTCAACAACAATGAATAATTGCATTAGGGTTCAAACTTCATAAGAAACAATATAAAATATTTGGTGTTATACAATAACCATGATGCACCCAAACTAACACGAACACTAAAGAAAAAAGGAATTAATGAGGAGACACAAACAATTAGATTCTCCTAATAATTATTTGTTTATTTGTTTGTAGTTATGGAAGCATGCCTTCTACTAGGATGTCAAAAGTTATGGTTATAACATCGATATTCTATATAATTCAAACTTAGCCACTAACAATAAATTATCAAGGATGAAATAGAAAAAATAATATATAAGTCAATAAGCAAGATCATGATCTGTTATACATACCCTGTGCAAATACGTTTCTGAGTTCTTAGGAAAATCAGAATTGATAACAACGTTAACTGCTTGAATATCAATTCCTCTAGTAGACAAATCTGTTCCATCAAGAAAGAACACAAAATTAAGAAATTTAACAATTAATCAATTTGAAATTTCAGCTGTAACAGAAAGCGTGACGGACCATCGTAGCCATGACGGTCCGTCCTGCATGTTCGTCATGAAGATCAGAGAAGTAGCAGAAGAAATTTGCATGTATGGGACGACGGAGTCCACAACGGCCCGTCATGACCACGACGGATGACCACGACGACCCGTCATGACCACGACCCGTCTGACCACGACGGCCTCTCATGACTACGACCGATCCATCGCGAGGTCCATGACGGCTCGTCGTGACCATGACGTCCCATTGTGAGGTCCGTCGACCCAGTTCATTCAGTTTTCTCAGTTCATTCAGTTTTCTGCTTTTCATTAGTTCAACATCACGATACAAGGTATGAAGGCTCAAGGCACCCAGAAATCAACTAGTACAGCTAAATTACGAGCTAGACTCCCAAAAATTGTACAAAAACACAAGAACATCAAAAATCTAAAGCTAGAAATTAGACTTTCAAAGATAGAATTCTTACCAGGTAAATCCTAAATCTGTCTAAAATCAAGTCATGCAACGAGAAATCTGAGAGAAAAGTGTGACGAAAAGGCTTAACTTCAGTTCATCTTGCTAACAACCCCAATCAATTCCTTTTAAACAAAAAATATAAAAATTTATTCAATATGATGAAGCTTGATGAAATCTTCAGCTCTTACCTTGACAAAATCTTCAGCTCGGAAAAGAGAAAGTTCGGTCAGCTCGATGAGTTTTGTTGCTCGATCTTCAGTTTGATCTTCAGCTCGGATAAAAGAAATTGTGAGTTCTTCATCTCAAGGAAGGAAAGGGAAAGTGTGACTTGAAGGAAATAGCTCCATCTTCAGCACAATATCAGAGAAAGGAAAGGGAAAGCGTGAGTTCTTCAGAAAAGGAAAGGGAAAGGGAGAAGGAAATAGAAAGTCTTTTTGTTTTATTATTAATTAATGTTTTTTTGGCCAATAAAAATGGGAGGGATTTTTAAAAATATTGGAGGGAATATAATATTTTAGTGAAAAATTGTAAGGAAACACTTATAAAGTGTTGTTTTTTCAATTATAAAAATAGGACATTTTAGAAGTGTGGTCGTATATGTAAATAGGTGTTGCCAATTATATCATATTTTAACAACACTTATAAAGTGTATCTTATATTATTAAAGAGTACACTTTTGAAGTGTTGCCAAAATTATTGTTTCTAAAAGTTAAAATTTTTGGCTACGCTTTAAAAGCGTTCCCAAAACTACTTTAGGCAACACTTTACAAGTGTAGTCCAGAATAAGTGTGGTTGTAGGCCTAAAATGGTATAGTGGACGCGACATGTACAGAACATACAACTTGTTAGTTTCCTCCCCCCAAGACACAAAAAACATTTAAACACGCAAACATCCTTCATATTTGATAGTCAAAATGAGCATCCTATCGACCCGTGGGTTCTTTGGACTCAAGGTGGTCTTTTTAATGGGCTCAACACTCCTTGGGTGTTGGGTATTCTTATGCCAATGTGCTATTCTTTTGGGATTTGGTTTCACTCTATCTTAGATTAATGATGAGTGGGTTGTATTTATAGTGGAAAGTTAACCAAATCAGACTACTTGGGCAGAGAAAGTTAATGATCGTTCACTATCAAGTAGCCAACTACATTCGTAAGGGTGCCATGAGAAGTATTTGGTTAACGAACGACTGTGAACCCTCATAATCATCTTTTAAGTGGAATGCCATACTTGTTGTTTGACAGAAAAATGTTATGTCGTTAATTTAATAGTTGATATAAAGTGATAAAAAAATAAACAATTAAATGCAAAACATTTTAGTCTTAAGGTTAGAATCCTCCAATTCCACAGCAGAGTTGTCATTTCTGTTTTAATCGGAAAAACCTCTTTAATAAGAATTTTTGACTTTTTGAGAGTCTCCACTTAATTTTAGAGAATTCAAAAAACCTTTGTTTTCAAAAGACTTAACCGAAAATCATTGGAAACTTTAAAAAGGGCTCGGGTATTCTTATTTATATTTTAAGAAAGCTGTTAGGCACCTAAAATATTCACTAATGCGATTTTCTGGCAACTAACTATTTGGCTAAGAATTGTGAGAAATAGAAATTATTCGGGTTGTTTGAGAAATGAAAACTTAGATTTTATCTAAGTAAAATATCTACCTTGCAAAAGTTATTATTTTTTAACTACTTGATCTTGATTCGATTTTAAGTCGTTTAAATATTTCTACGTTTAACCATACATGACTTAAAATAAATTTTTAATTTTAATGGCTTCGAATTCTTCAACTCTTCAATTGCACCGTATAACTTGATTTTGGAAACTGTCCGTCGATTTTAAAGCTAAGAGACTCGATGGAGCAGTTGACCCTTTACGACTCTCTCGAAACGTAAGGACAAAGAGTTTGAGGAGTACTCAAGCGGATTCACATTCAAAATGGAGAATATAAATGTATTAAGACAACGATACAAATAATTAAATAAACCACAAAACGGACTTATAAATAAAGGAAAACGGTAAATGCATTGTAAGATGTCATCAGTGATTGGATGGACACAATTTATCTAGGTCCCACAGAACGCAAACATACTTTGCATATTCTTTAAACATAAGAGAGAATAGGATCCAAATATACACAATTGACTCATAATTAACTAATTTAAATTGGAAAAAGAAAAAGAAGAAAAAATGAAAAGAAAAGAAAACATGAATCACTACCAAGACGGTATTGGGTGCACAAAAATTCGAAGGAGAAATGTAACACAATATTCGGGGTAATCCGTTCTACAGATAGGGAACATGTTCATGTGAAAAATTTAGTTATGCATGATGCAAAAAGAAAAATGAGACTAATATGTTTATCCAAATGAACACATACAAGGAAGATTGACCTCTATGTGACGATTCATTACGCAAAGGGGAAGGGGATCCAACTTATGTAAGGATGAAGGTGTGTTTTATTTATGAGGAAAGCTCCTCTATTTATACACATAAATTACACCGTCATACTATTTACTTTACATAATTGGCCGACAAACTTTTTACATGATTGGCCGACAAACTATTTACTTTACGACTTTTGTACATTTGGCTTTTTTTATCCGACGCAAGACGACAAAAATAAAAAGACTCTCACTTTATACATATGGCTGATATTCAGCCAACAATAATAACAATAACAACTCTTTTTTTTTATGTCTTATCTTCTTTTTCTTAGTCTATTCCAGTTGTACTCCGGGGACATAGTTATCTTCGCCATTGCATTTTGAACATAGATGGTCTGGATACTTTTGTCCAATTAGTTTGCAGTATCTGGTCATCAAGTCTTGATAAATGAAATTTTTTCTGATAGCCCTTGTTGTAGGTGTTTGTTCTGGCTTCAGTAGACTTAATATCCATTGTCGTACTTCTTCCATATCTGCTACTCTTATGTCTTTACAATTGGAGTATATCATTGTCTGATCTCTGTTGTAATAACTCCAAATTGCATTTTCATTTAGGTAGTTGTTTGATAACTCATTTAATATAGTAGCTATCCCAATAGTCCTTTTGTTTGCATAAAAATCTGGGATATCCACCTTCTGTATCTCTTCTTGTGTATCTATTTTTTCTGGTATTATCATATCTCTAGTTAAACCTATCTTAATAACTTGTATTGTAGGTTTAATTTCTTCATATAGTATCTCTGCTGTTGCTGAGTAGAACTTTATATAAAATAAAGTTCCTTTTGTTATTCTTTTATATTGCAGAAATGCCTTATGTAGCTCAGGTATTTTAGCTACTTCGTCTCCTGTAATAGTATATACTGTGCTTATAAGTCCGTAATTGTAGCAAGTTGCTACTAGGTTCGGATTCGTTCCTGGTTGTGCAATTAGTTTATTGTATCCTTGTAGATGTTGGGTTATGTAGTCTTGTTCAGGGTTTCTCGTATTTTTGGCTTTAGGGTTTTTGTTTAGAAAAGTCTGTACTTTGTATATGTTTTCTATATACATTCTGGTAATGTGGTTATATGTTTGTTTATCTGAATCTAAGCTGGCTTTGTAGGTATTTACCTGTGGTGGTATGAATATATCTTTCTAGGTACCTTGAGGAGTATATGGTTTTGAGAATAACTTATTCAAGTTTGTATTTGTGTATTTTATTTTAGTCTCCTCCTTTTTTGTAGATTGTCCTGCTGTAGATGTGCTGGCTGTAGCTGCATTTAAACAAATGTTATGGGTTTTTTGGAGTATCCCATCGTCTCCTTGTAGCTCTGGAATTTTTGTGTCTTCCGATTGACATAGCTCCGCATATTTATAGTCATGCTGCTGACTTTTAGTTTTCAAATTTTGTAATTCTTTACTCATACTATCTACTCTCGTAGAAAGTGTAGTAATAGCTTTGAGTATTTTTTCTGTTGTATCTGGTTCAGTTTGTGTTCCTTTTTCTTGATAGGTAATCTGCAACAAGATTTTCATCAGTTTTTATAATTTCAATTGTAAATGTAAAATTTAATATTTTCAATACTAATCTCCTTATTTCTTTTGTTGTAACTGAATCATCTAGCTTTTTTGTTATCCACCATTTTACCTGTGTGTTATCTGTTCTTACAATAAATTTATTGTAAACTATATATGGCTCAAATGCTAACAAACATTTATATAATGCAAATAATTCATTTCTATTTATTTCCCATTTTGCTTGTGCCTCAGTATATGATCCTGAGCAATACCTGCAATGGTGTTCTACCTTTTCTTTGTCATATTTATATTTTAATACTCCTCCGTAACTGTGGTCACTTGAATCTGTTTCAATTATATATGTGAAAGTTCTATTTTCATCAGGAAAATATAATTTTGGTAATTTTTTGCATAATTTTTTAATATTTTTTATGTGTTTTTTATCTTTATTGTCAAAATGATATTCAATATCTTTTTTGAATTAAATGTTCTGCTAATTTTGGTATATATTCTCTTACTTGATTTACTAATCCTAAAAATGATTGTAATTTCTTTTTTGTATCTATATTTTCATCAATAGTGATAATTTTTTGTACTATGTGAGTCTGCATTTTTATTCCATTTTTATCTATTTGTATCCCTAGAAATTCTATCTGTGGTTTCATAATTTCTGCTTTACTTTTACTTAAACTTATACCTGAGTGTTTAATTATGTGTATAAATTTTTCTAATAATTTTATATGTTCATCTTGTGTTTTGGAGTATAATAATATATCATCTATATATATGATACAATTTTCTAATTGGTTAAAATAGTTATCCATAAAATGTTGGTATCTACCTGGTGCATTTTTATATCCAAATGATAATACATTCCATTCATAAAATCCTTGTGGCACTGTGAATGCTGTTAATTGTTTAGATTCTTCTTCTAGTTTTAGGTGGTAAAATCCTGATTTACTGTCAAATTTACTAAAATAATTATATCCTTGTATTTGTCTTATTTTAAGTATTTTATTAGGTATTGGGTAGTTATATGTTTTAGTTTTAGCATTTAGATTTAAGTAATCTATAACCATTCTACTTTTACCTCTTTTTTGTTCACTGTGTTTTATTACTATAAATGCTGGGCTTGTATGTTTACTATTACTTTCTTGTATGTAATTTTTTTCTAGTAATTCATTTATATGTACTTTAAATTCTTGTAAATCATCAAAGTTATATTTTAATGGTTTTGTGTTATTATACTATTTTCATCTATTAGTTCAATTTTTACTTTTGTTTTATGTTTTTCCCATCCTTGTAATGGGTCTTCATTATATAGTTGTTCTAGCTGTTCATTGATTATTTTAACTTTATCTATTGCAAATATAATGATTTCTAGTTGTGATATTTGTTTTTCACTTATATTTTTCATTTCCTGGTTTATTTTTTCACTACCTCTAATCCATTCTATAGATTTTCGTTGTTTATTTTTTACTCTTTTTGCTCCTATTTTATAGCCACATGGCGTAGTAAGCCACCAGTGTGTTTTTGTTATTATGTGAGGGTAAAATTTATCTAAAAATGGCATTCCTAATAACATATCTTTTGTGGTAAATTCGAAATTATACATTTCTTCTATTGTTAGTATCTTATCCCATATTTGTATTTTTATATTTTTTGCTTTATATTTGATCATACTTCCTTCATTGTTAAATCCTGTTACTACCATAGGTGTTTTTAATTTTTCCCATTTATCTTCTGGTGAGCAATTATATTTACATATATTCGCTTCTGCTCCTGTATCTATCATAGGTGTATAATATCTGTTGTGATGTCCTTCTACAATAATTTTTGCAAGTATGAATATTTTCATTAATCATTTTTGGTTCTTTTTATAATTATTTTTTTATTTTGGCAAGTTATTGTTAATTGTTCATTTTCTATGTTGTATGGTTTAACTTTTTCTAACCATTTTATTCCTAATGTGATATTATGATTTCCTTCATTTATCTTAAATTGTATTTTCAATGGAATTCCTCCTATAATTATTTCTTTTTCTGTTGTCTCTTCATTTGTATTTATTATTTCACTAGGTAATCCAGGGCATATGTGTCCTGTTTTCATAATTTCTTCTTCTAATACTAGTTCTCTTGTTATATGATTCTCTTCTTGTCCTATGTTTATCAAGATTTTATATTTTCTTTGGTCCATTATTCCTGTTATAAAATAATGATATATTGTTATTTCTCCTAAATCTTGTGATATTTCATATTTTCTTTTAGATGAACTCATTCTTGATGAGGAAGCTCTAGTCATCATATTTAATGAGTTTGTATTTGGTATACTTGAGGTACTTAATCTTTCTTTTACTATCTCCAATTCTTCTTCTGTATCCATTTCTTTATAACTATAGTCATTATTATCTATTACCGTAATTATTCTTTCAAAAGGATTTTCTATTTTTATTTTATCAATTTTTTTTTTTGCTGTTATTTTATGTTTTGTTGTTAATATATAAAGATTTTTACATCTTGCTGTGAATACCTTACTTCCTGGTGCTAACTCTATTCCTGACATTTTCCAATATAATACTAATGATTTGTCTATATTTGTATCTGTTAATGCTACTGTATAATTAGCACTTATTATAAATTTAAATTTCTGGTATATTAAATTTCCTTTAACTGCACTTATTACGCTTTTTCTATAGGATATTTTATTCTATCATCTGCTAAATATATTTCAATGGGCGTATCTATTCCTTCTCTGAAACAAGCTTTTATTAGTATTTCTGTTCCTCCTAAATGTACATATTTTATAGCTTCTTTATTTTTTATGTTTTGTATTTCTTTATTTATTATTCGTTTGTTTATTATAGGTATATATGCTTTTCCACTTGTATATTTTCCGTCTATGATATGTTCTTTTTGACTAACCACATAATATTCTTCTTTCTGTCTTTTAAAAAAGTTTTTTAGTATAGGTATGTCAAGTATTTTTTCAACACTTAAATCTAATTCTTTTCCTTTTATTTGTTCAAAAAGTGTATTATCAAATATGATTTTTTGGTGTGATGATTCTTCATCTTCATAATTCTCTTTAGATATTATTTCGTTTTCAGACATTATATTTCTTCCTCTTCTTCTATTTCATTATCTAGTTTTTCTTCTCCATTTTCAGTTTCTATATCTGATACTTCATATATACTATCGTTTTCACTTAATTCATAGTCTATGTATTCTATTTGCATATATTCGTCATTACCTATAACTATTTCTGCAATTTGTTTTCTTTTTGGATTTTTTGGTAATTTACAGTCTTTAGCTATGTGTCCTATCTTTCCGCAATTATAACATGTTCATTGGGATATCTTTCTTTTTGGTCTATATGGTCTTTTTATTTTATAGTTTTTTACATAATACCTTCGTCTTGGTTGTTTATATTTATACTTAGTTTTATTTTTTCTATAATTTTTATATCTTCTAGATTTTTGTTTCTTATTTGTACACCCAAACTGTGGTGCCATTTTATTTTTACAACATGATAAATTTTTATTTAGTACTTTTTCCATTTTTAATTTTTCTTTTTGGTTTTCGCATAATTGTGTAAACCATTGAGATAGAAATTTTATTCTAGCTCCTAAAGTATCTACCATTCCTTCATTATTCCAATCCTTTATTATTTTTGTGCTAAACGGTTCTGGTAATTTTGTAAAATATTGTTTTCTTATTTCTTTTGCTTCGTCTAAATTGTATTTAGATTTGTAATAGTATTCTTTGAATGCACAAGTATATTCTTCTATATAACACATTTTACATATAGCTAATTTTGTCATAAGTTGTCTATTTATTATTTTTTCCCTATTTTGTTCTCTTATATCCCTGGTCATACCACCAAATTCATTTCTTATTGCTGATTCATATTTGTCTAGTATATCTATATTTGTTGCTGATGGGGATCCATCCATTTTCTTATCATTTCTAAGTACTTCTAAACTTTCTGGGGGTAGATTTTCTATCCATAATTTTGCCGTTCCTATGAATGTTCTTTCTATATATCTTGGTGTTTTTGTTGTTTCTATTTTGTTATCTATTAACTGCTTGGATATATTTCCTGTCCATAGTAATATTGCTTTATTTATGTCTGTGACGCAGTCTAAATCTAAGAAATTATATTGTTCACTTATTGGTTTCGGTATCCAATTTTTATTTAATCTACTGTTCCATATTGCATTATTTCTATCTGATTGTTGATAACTTTCTGTATAATAAGTTGGTGGTGTCCACCTAGGACTACTTCTAGGGCTATTTCTGGGACTATTATCTGGGGTTTTGACTCTTGACGTACTAGGTCTATTCATATCTCCTGTGTTTATTTCTAATTTTTTTAGTTTATTTGTCTGTTCTAAGATTTCTGTATATGTTTCACTTATGTCACTTATTTCTGATTTTTGATCATTTTCATTTTCATCTATTTCATTTACTTCATTTACCTCAATATCTTCATTTAATTTTTGTTCCATTTCTTTTATTTCATTAGTTAATTCAAGCTCTTTATCTTTTTCCTTTTGTTTTTGCTTATTTTCATATAATAATTTTAACCTAGCTAATTCTTTTTCTAATTCACTTATTCTTGTATTTTTTTATTTCTTCTAATTGTTGTACTTCTTGTTTTGCTTGTATTTTTATTTTTTCAATTTCTCTTGATTTGTCTATTTCTTCGTTTTCTTTTGTTATTCTTATCATAGCTGTTAAACTATCTTCTAATTTTGCCGTTTCTTTTTCTAACATTAAGTATAAATTATTTCCAATTTTTTTATATCTTTTTCCTAGATTTGAAAATATTATTTTTATTATCATTCCGTCTTGATTTTCATATGTTTTTTCGTCTACTGCAAATTCTTCTTTATTCATTATAATCTATGTATTATATTATGTTGTAACTCATATTCAAGACAATCTAATTCTAATTTTAACATGGATATATCTTTTCTTTGTGCTAGTAGTGATTTATTACATACTCCTGCTAATATGTTTTCTTCTAATCTTCTTTTTCTATGTTGTAATTCTTGTTCTTTTTCAGCCATTTTTTCCATTATTTCTTCTATTAATTGTTGTTTATAGATTTCTCTGTTCATACTGTTTTTTCAAATAGCAGACATATTTATATTCTGTTTTTGAAATTATGTTTATCAATTGATCTTTTCTATCATTATCTGTTTTGACTAGTTGTGATAGTTCATATTCTATGTATAAAGATCTTAATTTTTTCCATATTTTTCTTACCTTTTTATCTACCTTAGTTCTTTTTATTTTAGTATTTTTATTTTTATTCATCATAACCTTTTATATAATATTTTAAAAAGCTTACTTAATTTATCTGGATATTTAATCTTTTTTAACCTGTAATTTCTACCATATCGCCTTAGCCAATATTCAGTCATATTTAATCTCCAATATCTAAATCATCATATAAATCGTATATGTCATAATAAAGTTCATCTTGTATACTTTGTATGGTTAACTCAGTCCAACCTTGGGTTGTTATTTCTATTATCTCGTATGTTACCAATTTATCATAAATTTCTCTTTTTATATCAGTATTAAGATTTTTTAATATATAAAGTAATAATATCTTATAATCAACATCATCGTTTAATAGGTAAGTTTCCATTTTTATCATTTTTATTTTCACTAAAATTTTATTCCTTCCAACCTCTTAATAAATTATACTTGCTTATTATGCAAAAATAATGATTTAATAATCATCTCGTCTGGTCACTACTACAGCTTTCTTCTTTGATAAGTTACCCTAACAGCGCCTCAACTTTGTTTACTTCCCTAAACGGCCTTCTCTGCCTACCGGTTTCAACCTTATGATGGCATAGTCTAGGCATACTTATTCGAAAAATATTTCTGTAGCAAACTTTCTAAAGATGGTTATTATAACATTATTCAAACATGATAAACAATTATAATTAACAAGAGATTTTCAAGAATAAATCAATTTAGCTACTCATAAGTATAAAATAGTATACCTATTTTTGTAGATCTTCCGACATAGTTGATTTGTTCTCCATAATTATTTAATTAACTAGCTCTGATACCAATTTGGGGGTGGAAGCGTAGAGAGAGAGTATTCAGAAAGAAGAGAGATGTAAGGATGAAGGTGTGTTTTATTTATGAGGAAAGCTCCTCTATTTATACACATAAATTACACCGTCATACTATTTACTTTACATAATTGGCCGACAAACTTTTTACATGATTGACCGACAAACTATTTACTTTACGACTTTTGTACATTTGGCTTTTTTCAGCCGACGCAAGACGACAAAAATAAAAAGACTCTCACTTTATACATATGGCTGATATTCAGCCAACAACAATAACAATAATAACTCTTTTTTTTATGTCTTATCTTCTTTTTCTTAGTCTATTCCAGTTGTACTCTGGGGACATAGTTATCTTCGCCATTGCATTTTGAACATAGATGGTCTGGATACTTTTGTCCAATTAGTTTGCAGTATCTGGTCATCAAGTCTTGATAAATGAAATTTTTTCTGATAGCCCTTGTTGTAGGTGTTTGTTCTGGCTTCAGTAGACTTAATATCCATTGTCGTACTTCTTCCATATCTGCTACTCTTATGTCTTTACAATTGGAGTATATCATTGTCTGATCTCTGTTGTAATAACTCCAAATTGCATTTTCATTTAGGTAGTTGTTTGATAACTCATTTAATATAGTAGCTATCCCAATAGTCCTTTTGTTTGCATAAAAATCTGGGATATCCACCTTCTGTATCTCTTCTTGTGTATCTATTTTTTCTGGTATTATCATATCTCTAGTTAAACCTATCTTAATAACTTGTATTGTAGGTTTAATTTCTTCATATAGTATCTCTGCTGTTGCTGAGTAGAACTTTATATAAAATAAAGTTCCTTTTGTTATTCTTTTATATTGCAGAAATGCCTTATGTAGCTCAGGTATTTTAGCTACTTCGTCTCCTGTAATAGTATATACTGTGCTTATAAGTCCGTAATTGTAGCAAGTTGCTACTAGGTTCGGATTCGTTCCTGGTTGTGCAATTAGTTTATTGTATCCTTGTAGATGTTGGGTTATGTAGTCTTGTTCAGGGTTTCTCGTATTTTTGGCTTTAGGGTTTTTGTTTAGAAAAGTCTGTACTTTGTATATGTTTTCTATATACATTCTGGTAATGTGGTTATATGTTTGTTTATCTGAATCTAAGCTGGCTTTGTAGGTATTTACCTGTGGTGGTATGAATATATCTTTCTAGGTACCTTGAGGAGTATATGGTTTTGAGAATAACTTATTCAAGTTTGTATTTGTGTATTTTATTTTAGTCTCCTCCTTTTTTGTAGATTGTCCTGTTGTAGATGTGCTGGCTGTAGCTGCATTTAAACAAATGTTATGGGTTTTTTGGAGTATCCCATCGTCTCCTTGTAGCTCTGGAATTTTTGTGTCTTTCGATCGACATAGCTCCATATATTTATAGTCATGCTGCTGACTTTTAGTTTTCAAATTTTGTAATTCTTTACTCATACTATCTACTCTCGTAGAAAGTGTAGTAATAGCTTTGAGTATTTCTTCTGTTGTATCTGGTTCAGTTTGTGTTCCTTTTTCTTGATAGGTAATCTGCAACAAGATTTTCATCAGTTTTTATAATTTCAATTGTAAATGTAAAATTTAATATTTTCAATACTAATCTCCTTATTTCTTTTGTTGTAACTGAATCATCTAGCTTTTTTGTTATCCACCATTTTACCTGTGTGTTATCTGTTCTTACAACAAATTTATTGTAAACTATATATGGCTCAAATGCTAACAAACATTTATATAATGCAAATAATTCATTTCTATTTATTTCCCATTTTGCTTGTGCCTCAGTATATGATCCTGAGCAATACCTGCAATGGTGTTCTACCTTTTCTTTGTCATATTTATATTTTAATACTCCTCCGTAACTGTGGTCACTTGAATCTGTTTCAATTATATATGTGAAAGTTCTATTTTCATCAGGAAAATATAATTTTGGTAATTTTTTGCATAATTTTTTAATATTTTTTATGTGTTCTTTATCTATATTGTCAAAATGATATTCAATATCTTTTTTGAGTTTTTTGTATAATGGTTTTAAATGTTCTGCTAATTTTGGTATATATTCTCTTACTTGATTTACGAATCCTAAAAATGATTGTAATTTCTTTTTTGTATCTATATTTTCATCAATAGTGATAATTTTTTGTACTATGTGAGTCTGCATTTTTATTCCATTTTTATCTATTTGTATCCCTAGAAATTCTATCTGTGGTTTCATAATTTCTGCTTTACTTTTACTTAAACTTATACCTGAGTGTTTAATTATGTGTATAAATTTTTCTAATAATTTTATATGTTCATCTTGTGTTTTGGAGTATAATAAATGTAATCAATCTTAAGGAACAATGAAAGATAATACAAAGAAAAATTACTAGAGAAGAACTAACGTAAGACAATCCTATAACGACATTACACAAAGGTGGAGAACATGCTAAAGGATTTGCACTTGAACAACAAAATATGCACTTTTCAGTTAAAATCTTAGTAAAAATGGAGACAAAACATGGACAAAACGAGATCTGCTAGGCAATGAAGTTATCTAATGATATATGAAATGATAGCTGATGGAGACAACCATTAAATAAAAATCCAACTACAAAATATGACTAGCTATAGGAAAGCAATTTGGTAAATAGGAAACAAGCTAGGCCAAAAGGAATAGAAAACCAAGATAGGAAGAACTTAGATATGCTAAAAAGTGAAAACAATCGTATATTTAGTTAATATGGCAGTGGGAATCTAGGATAAAAGAGCATGGAAGTAAGTAGGCCATAAAACAATATACACATCTTTCTTACCAATTAATTGGTTTTCAAACTTCACCTCACTTATCATAAAAGGAAAACAGGAATAAATTAAACAAAGAATGAAATAACCAGTAGAACAATGTCAGTAGTAGGACGGATGTTCGACTAAATAAACCTATTAAAAGAAAATCACAGCAAGGCTCGAACCAAAGAAAAGTCTATTCAACATCACTAAACAAGATAACAACGTCTTAGATTGAGTTGAAGATAGGACCATTCAGCAAATAGGACAAATTTCAAAAAAAGAACAGAAGAGAAGAAAGAGAAAAAAAATGAACAACCTCATCTGACCGGAACAACAAATGCAAAAGAAGAGTTTGAATTTCTTGAGGGAAGGCAGTGAGCAGCATATAACGCGGAGGACATGTATGGAAGATTTTTTTAAAAAATTTTCTTTATTTTATGCAGAACATGATATGAATATAGAAATAAAAAAAATAATAAAGAGACACAATCCCAAAATTTAGGGCCCGTTTGGCCATAAATTTTCCAAATAATATTTGGGAAAAAATTGGCAAATAATGTTTGTCCATACAATTTATCATTATTTAGCAAATATTTTTGGCAAATATCCCAAATTTCCAAATACTAGTTTTTTCTAGTATTTGGGCCAAATATCATTATTTGGGATATTTTAAAAATTAAAATTTTACCCCAATCTTTTATCTTTTACGAAAACACCCTCTCTACTATTTGTTTGCGTTGTATTACATCATTTTTTATGTGAACACTAAAATAGTGATGAAATATTTAGTGAATATTAAATAATGATATGATTGTTGATGAAAATTATTAAAAATTGGCTTTAGGTAACAAAGTCATGTACTTTATCTACTTCACGATGTATCGAATAATTCTTGTTGCACTCCCTCCAAATTACCGCATTGCTTCAGTCTCATGGACATTATTTGTTATTGTTGTAACCAACATTCAATTGACTTGTAATACAAACTTTTAGTTAGTTTTGATAAATCATATTTTTCTAAAAAGGTGAAATATATTTTCCAAATTTTATAGCCAAACACCAAATTTTCACTCAAATAATATTTGTCAAGAATATTTGAAAATCTATGGCCAAACGCTAGCTTAATCTATATCCATACAATCAAAAGTGTAGCTATCTAATGCATTCCACTCCCTCCAACCACATAACAAATAGATAATAGACAATGCCCTCGTTAAACGACAAAACAAGGCACAATTTAAAGAAGGTACAACATTAGTGGGAATAAAAAAACAGAGAAGCAGACTTCAAATGTCGCTAAATCGACTTAAGGAAACACATTATAAAACTTCAGAAAGTCAAAGATGTAATTTAGGACTTAAAGACTTTAACATACCATATAGACATATAAAAGTAGATTAAGAGCAGGATTCAACACCAACACACCGAACTCTTAATGTAATAAAGTTTTTCCAAATGTTTACCTTTTTATGGGCAGTGGAACAGGCACTACACGAGTAGGAAGATGAACCTCAACCACATAAACCCAAACAGAACAGCGAGAGAAATCCGGTTCACCCTTCTTCGAATATGTTGCCTATGTATTTTGGGACTGACCGCTCAAACTATTTTCTTAACCTTGATTAAAATCCTTTTAAATTTCTTCTGCACTTGTCTTCTCAACTAAAATCTATCCTCTATTCTTCTTGGAATCTCAAGAAAAATCAAATCCCCCTTGTCTCCAAAAATCTCAAGAAAAATCGAATCTCCCTTTTCACAGTGAGCAATAGAATATATATATTGGGAAAATTAGGGTTGGATTTTTGGGGGAAAACGACCAAATCATGACGGGAAAGGCCAACCCAAATTCAAATTTCAAAACCCTTTTCCAATTTTGGATCGAAAAGCTTTTCTGAAGGTTATTGCCTTTACCCATAACAGGTAAGATTGCATTGATGGTCTTGATCGACTCTATCGTCCTTGGCGTTGACATGGTATGATCTCACGCCACCAAGGACAAGTTGGAGTTCTTGGTCGTTGTTGTAAACGCAGGATCCTTGTAGGGAGAGGCGAGGAGACGAAGCTGAGCGTTCTGGTATTTTTGTCACGACACACCTGATTTGGCTGCTAGGAATTGAGGGTTGCTATCGACGCGCTGAAATTTGGTGTATTTGGTTACTATGTGTTCTGATCTTTTCTTTGTGGAATGCGACAAAGCTATGGACCGGGTTAAGGGTAAATGTGGGCCGATTTGGAATGGGCTTGGACGAATGCAAGATGAAACCATAAGGGGAGTAGGCTGCTGAGAAAATTTATTCAGGCCCACAATCGGTCTTACATGACGTATTAAATCACCCATATTGTGTTCAATCCCGAATATAGTTAAAATCAAAACAAAAAGAACCAATGTAATAAATTTAGGAGCTTCTTGATTTTTAAAAAGACAAAATAATTAACTTAATTAAAAAGCGATGGTTAGAAATTATAACCATAATTTACCAAATTAATTTAGCCAATATACTTACTAGGAATTAAAATCCTTTGAGATGCTTTTCGAAATATCTATAAAATAGATTTTTTTATGTACAAAGCTTTATTAAACGTGCCTATATATTGCTAAAAATACAAAAAAGTGACCAAACTTATTTAATATAATTTGTCAAAGTTATTCAAAAAATTTGTAAGCTTGTATTTCCTCAAAATTTTATAAAAACTAATAATCTTAGATTGTTTAAGAATGAAGAAGCTCAAAAATTAATTATCGTAGGAGAGAGCCAAAATCGGGTGTCAATCCTAAGGAAATCTCATAGGAAATCAGCATGTAACCATAAATATATACTTAAACAACATTAATTCATCATAATTCATCACAATTGATTCATAATTTTATTTTTAAAGAAGACCCATGCATGGAAGAAAACCCTAGATTTGGAGTACTTAAAAATCATCTTTTGTAGGGACCTCTTGGAGAAATAAATCCCAAGTGTGAAAGAATCCATACCTTGAAGATGAATCACCACGAAATTAAGTAGAAACTTGTGGGATATGGTGTTCTTCTCCAAGCATCAAAGCTTTTTCAATGGGAGATGACTAGAGAGAGAAGGAAGAGCTTTTGGGAATTGTTTTGGGGTTTTGATTTGAGTGAGACACTGTGCACGAAAACTGATGGAAAATTAATATATAACTCTCCCCTAAATTACCCAAAAGACCCCTCAATTAAACTGACCATTTAATGAAGTCAAACATGAATTCAACTTTAATATTTTTCATCAGAGAAAAAGTCCACGTCGCGGAGTTGTTCCCGAAATATTTCAAAAATCAATTTTTAAAATAGAAGAGTCTGCGATGTGTCAGCAACACATACTATACTTTTGGCTTTCATTTTTTCAAGTTCGTGACGCAGACTTTCTCCCTCTAAGTACAAAAGTTGCTTCCTCTTGGAAGTTTGCTTGGCCCAAAGTGGGGTCCATTCATGGACCCCTCGGGCAATCTTTTGGGGGTCGTTCCTATAATTTTTAACCATATATACATTATTCTATCTATTTAAGGTCTTTTTACATGCCTTAGACTTCATACAACACTCCCAAACTTTCCAAATACTTACGGAAGTTCACTAATTCAATTTCTCTAATTTTCGGACGTCATGGTCGTTTCTTAGCGTTTTGGTTCGAACAATTCTCAAACAAGTTTTATAACACTTATTAAGGTCTAAAATAATCATTAGTCATTTTTCGAAGATCTAATCTAGGTCATAGAATATCTAGCGTGAGTTAGGACTATTATACAATATATTCAAGTATTAGTGGTATACAACATAATATACAAACAATGAATAAATATCTAATATAAATGTGTCTTGAATGTTGTGTCATCTTAAGCAAATGCGCTAAATACGATATTTTGGCCTCTATGGACACTGGCTGACTAAGAATGGGCTTTGGTAGGGTAAATGCTTACCCGAGTTGGACAAACTATGGGGTAAGGTGTACTAAACAACGTTGGATGACCACAAGCTAATTACTCGTTTATCACTTAAAAATAATTCAAAGGTGTATTTCGGAAGGACATTCATGAAAATCCACAAAACCACCTTTATCCTAATGCATTCTATTATAAATTTGGAGGAAATAATTCAGGAAATAATTTCAAGTAATACAATTAAAATTTACAACAAATAATGAATAAATAATAAGTATAATGTGCAAATAATCAACAAAATATGCAAGATATAATGAATAAAACAATAAAACACTAGTCTCCTCAATTTGAAAAATTGAACCTATAATGATTAGAACCACTATATCTCGAGTGGAGTCGTCAATATGTTTACATCCTTTGAAACGGCAAAACATCGGGGTTACTCAATTTTAATATCTTGTCAATTATAAGGATTAAAGGTAATCACCACTAATTTTTTAAGGAAAACTAGGAAACCAATTAACAAATATATTTTTGAAAAATATCTACAAAACCAATATGATTCTAGGTAAGGGTTGAAATTATGGAGAAGGGATGGGGTTAGGCATCCTTCAAAATCCACAAGTGAAGATCTCAACTGCTGAATTGATTTTTTCAAATTGAGGAGGCGAATAAATTAATGTACAAGTACAGTAAAGATGTAATATACACAAGTAATTATGAAACAATTATATATGAAGGAGAATAAATTTTCATATCGACAATAATATACAATAATGAATAAGGGTATAATTTGACCCTAATTCAAATAGCTCTAATGAGAAGCACCTTCGGTACGTGTAAAAATACTTCGTAAAAGTGTTAGTAATGCATAATTATGAATAAACAAAATAATAACTTAAAAATTATTAACACATATTATTAACATGGGAGGCCATGGAAATCGATAGTAATTTCTTCATCAGCCAATTTAACATTAAAATAATATAAATTTAAACTAAATTTCTATCTCTTAACATTGGGGACGCTACTAAAACAAATAGAGAGATTTTTTTTCATTGGCCAATTTCAAATAACAACGGTAATAACATAAAAACATTAAATAATAACGAAGAGAAAATAACGTTCTAATAAAGTAGTAATCATATCAAACCAAATCTCATACGCCATGAAGCACCTCTAAAACGACTTAGGTGAAGATAGATGCTTACACATGTGTCATGAGGTTATATATTCCTAAATTGTTTATAATGGTGTCTATAAGAATTTTCTAATGTTTTGTTAAGTTTTGAGGTCAAACATCTAAGAATATTCAAGACCTTAGAAATTTTTTAATTGAAGTGTGCTTGCGTGTCTTAGTATTTTTTGCCATGTTTTATATGTTAGTTTTTGTCGAAACTGATATGAAGGGTTCCTAACATGTGTATGACGGTATTTGGGCAGTAAAAGTATGGTAAAAAGTCCAAAATACCAACCAAAGGGGCCCTAGAGGAGGATCAAACTTGTGGGAAAAAGCTTTCCCAAGATGGCAACTTATTGTCTCAATGTTCACGGACTACATCACGGCTAGTGGCGTTGACCACGGTCAATGAAGATTGTACTTTACCTTTTTTAGTCTCATGGAAACCTGGAAAGTCAATGAAGCCACTGCATCGAGGATCACGGTCCGTCAAAGGGGTCATGAAACACCTTTAGGGACATTGAAGGTGGTCCTGGTCCCTGGGCGGGTTGTCCAAAATTGGATATTCAACTTTATCCTAATTTACGTTTTATTAATTGTGGTTGATTTTAAAAGGTTTTTATCATTAAATATTAATAGTTTAAAGCCTTAAAACCCTCCTTTAACTGATTATTTTAAAAAAACAAATCAAAACCCCTCCCTCAAGAAAAACCCTGTCAAAACACCATTGAAGCTAGATCTTTGAATAAAGGCTTTGGACGTTTTCTTCATCGATATTTCATGGATTTATTCTGATTTAGGTGTGGTAGTAATTCTTGACGTTTTTTCATTCAAGGAGCCAATTCTAAAAGTGTTTCAAACTTCAACTTCTTCAAAGTATGGGTATTTGCATGAAAACGTTTTAATGATTAAAATTAATTGCTCTTAGTGTTACATGGTGATATTTATGTCAAAACCCCAATGAACATATGTTTATGATTATTAAAAACTTTAGGCTTATGAAGTGGGTTTATTCCTTTTAGCCAGATAATGTTAGAGTTGAGTTTCTTTTGATGTATCTTGGGTTAGCTACCGCCTATGCGTGCTTTATTATGTGGCTTTGATGAAAGGTGGTGAATGCTTTGATGAACTATAAGTTGCTCTATCTTGTATAATGTCCATTGAAATTTTCTTGAGTTGTATAGCCTACCTTTGGTGGCAATGTTTACTTGAAGTATATGAATGTGTTTTTCATGTGTGTTGTGAGTATGTCAATGAAGTCATCTTGTGTGAAGAAAGTTAAAATGATGATTCTCTTTTTGATATGCTTTATGAATCTTGAATTGTATAACTTGTATAAATTTTGTCTAAATGAAGTATGTGTATATGTGCAGCATGCTACTTTGTGAAAGATGATGAATAAAGATGTAAGCATGTTTAGAAGTCAATGTTATGAAACTTGTGATTATCTGAAAGGTGTGCTCACATGTATACACACACACTTTGAATGAATGAATGAAGCTAATGTTTGCTAATAGATGATTCTACGAGGGACATTCTTCGTGAATAGAGATGAAGTGTCTAGACCATCCCCTACTTTTCCTAAAAGACTCAAGTAATGAAGAGGTAAGTTTTGGGTGAACATTCTTCGTGAGTTGACATGAAGTGTTTAGTAGCAAACTCACCATTCTCAAGAGATTTCTAAGATAGGTTAGAGGGTGGATAACCTTTGTGAGTTGAGATGTGTTGTCAATTATTTATCCCTTAACCTATAGTAATGAATGTATAAGGCTCTGTAGGGAAGTTATGCTTAGCACCGAAAGTATTTGAAGAAATGGTGCTTACACTTAATGAGTTGAGATGTTGTATCCAATGTACCTCTTGAGATGAGTACTTCTCGTTAGTAGAGAATGAGTTTTTTAA